GTATATCACATCCAACATGCAGCTCGCAGATATCCTCACCAAGGCTGTACCAAGGAAGAAGTTAGACGCAGATATCTATTCCCAACTTGAGGGGGAGTGTAGAGAACACTGATGTGGGCCCCACAGCTGTGGTCCCCACTGTGTTCGTAGGACAGAATGTGTAATTATTTGTTTCAGTCATGTTAGTGTTAGTTGGTGGTCAGTTTGTTATTTCAGTTATTATTTATTTCAGTTTTTTATTTGCATTATTTGTCATCTAAGTACTAAGGGCAGATCTGTCCTTTTCCCCTATGTACTGAACATAACCTATAAATACTAAGAGAGTGGTGGCGGCAGATCAATTAGAATCTGTCCCTTCTTTCAAACCTTTGTGTTCTCCAATTCTTCTCTCTTTTCTTTCTTTCTCTTACTTTTCTTCTACCGTTCCTAATCTGAAATCTATTAGAGTTCAAGGCTGATTGTAGTCTTGATCGCCTACTATTTATAACTAGGAAGAAAAAATGTATGTCTCACAAATTACTTCTGATTTCTGAATTCTGATTTGGAGAGTATGCATCCATGACATTACATATCTAATCTGGACGGTGTAATTCTGATTTGAGATTGTGTCAATCACCCCTTTTAAAAGGATAGCACCTGCTACCTATGCACTTGTGCCCAATACATCTGGTTTGTATCATATTTTATGTTTTTTTTTTGATCAATAAGAGAAACTTTTATTAAGAGGAATAGAAGAGAGAGATACAATAGGAAGGGAGGGGTAAACTCTCTTAACCCTCCCTAAAAGTAGAGATCAAATTACAACAATGCCCAAAAGAAATTAGCTCTTCCCACCCCTTGTTTGGCCAAAGAGTCTGCCAGAGGTTTAGCACTCCTCTTGGACCACTGAACCTGAATTTCCATGTTTTGAGTTAGCTGGTTAATTTTCTTTTTTTTTTTTTTTATTTGAGAACTTCCACAGACCGAAATCTTCTTTCTGCAGCCAACTAAGAACCAGCCTAGAGTCGCCTTCCACCAGCAGTTTTCTAATATTCAGCTGCTGGGCTCTTTTAATCCCTTCCAAAACTGCCAAAGTTACAGCTCTCAGAGAATCCCCCCAACCTATAGGGCCTGAAAACATGGCAATAATTTGACCTTCATCCCTGAAAACTCCACCTATACCTGAAGGGCCTGGGTTTCCTTCGCCGCTGCCATCAAAGTTCAATTTAGTGAACCCCATAGCTGGAGGAGTCCAAGCTGGAATAGGGGAAGTATTCAAGGGAGCAGACCAAGCCACTTCTTTCCAATTTCTAATGATATCTCCTGCTGAATAACCTTCAAAGAGCTTCATAGTCTTGACCCAATGAACCACCCTAACAGAGATTAATTCAATGATGGCTTCCTTGTTTGTTTCTTTTTCATGGAAGGTTCTTTGATTTCTTTCCTCCCACACTGTCCAGCATACAGCTGCTCTTACACATCTCCACAAAAGTTTACCTCTTTTTTTTTAAAACCCCTTAGTGAAGTAGAGTTAAACAAGCTCTGCACACTTGGAGGGGAGGGCCACCTGCAACCAAAAAGAGAGAAAAACGAACACCAGATTTCTGATACGAAAAGACAGGAAACTAATAAGTGATAGCAGCTCTCACCATTCTCCTTACATAAGATGCACCTGTGCGGGTACAATCAACCATACTGTTGGCAAGGCATAAGCCATACTGTTGGCTGACTGCTGAGTCCAATTGTTGTTGTTATCTCCCAGCCAAAATTTTGACTTCCCTCATGATGCCTATACCATAGTTGTCAAGGTGATGCGTAGGCGACAAGGCGCCCTTTGTGATTCGTCTCGCCTAATCGCCAAGCAGTTTTGTATTATGTATCATAAAATACTTTTTTGTTTTTTATTTTTTGACATTATAATTATAAAATAGGCACTATTAAACTAAAATATTCATTTTGTGTTTATATACTAATTTCTTTTTATTATTTTCTTATTTGTTAGGGTTTAATAAATACAAACATTGGTAAATGCTGTATTGAACCCTCAAAGACTTTAGAAATTGAACCAATAAGTAAGGAAGAACTTAAAATTGTCTTATCACTACTACTACTACTACTACTACTTTTTCTTTTCTTCTTTTCCTATAACAAAAATAAGGCTTCAGCCCCTATATTTTTTGGATTTTCTTTTCCTTCTTTTTCTCCTCATTAATATGTTGATTTTCTATACTTTAACATGAACTCTATACTTTTTTTATGAAAATGATGAATAACTATTAAGGAAATATGGTTACGGTACCTAGGGAACTACCCTAGGATCTACGTCTTCTACATAAAAAATCCATCGCCTAGGTGACAAGGTGCCCCCCTGTCGCCTAGCCTCACCTTGGCGCCTTCAAAACTACGGTCTATACTTCCAAGCACCTATACTGTTCATTCTCAACTATGGTTCAAAGTATCAATATGCTTGATAATGAAAAATCACATATTGAGTGATTCAGGGCATTGATACTTTGGATCCAAGAATATCAGTTAAGAACCAGATTTTTCTAGCCATGAATGACACATCGGAATCTAAATCCTAATTTTAGATTCTAAAGGAGAAGGAAAATGAGGCTAAGTGCTTCTAATCTGCCATACTAACCTCTCTCGAGTTCCTAATGAAGTGTAGATTCCAACTTACAAGAAATACCATTAGGGCCAAATTTGACTATTGAAGATGCAATTGCATTTGTAGCTATAGAAATATTGAAGAAATCTGGGAATGTTGAACTAGGAGGCCTTTGCCTGATTTTTTTTTTTAATCAGTAAAAAGAAATTTTATTAATGAAGCTTGAAGATTACAAAAGGATGGGTGTAAAATTCAACCTAACAGTACAAGGAGAGGCCTTTGCCTGAATTGCATGAGTTTCTTTCTTGTAGATTTCTTACAATTGAAATTTTATGGTCACCTCTTTTTTTACACTTCTAAGGCAGACTAGCTTCACTTTCACATTCTCTCTGTTATATTAGTTTTTATAATTGACCATCAGCTAGTTGCTTTTTTCTGTCTTCTTTGTGTGTTTTTGTGAAGAATTTATCACTTGAGAACTGCTCCTGACATATTACTATTTCTGCTGATGCATAATTCATTTTGTTTGTCATTTTTCATTTAATTTTGGTTTGGATCCGGAAACTCATTTTGCATGTTTCATCTTTCTTACAGAAATACCGGATAATGAGTATATCAAATATTTCGCCCCAGACTATTCATTGAAGATTCCAAATGGCAACCTAGTAGGCAATTTTTTTATTTTTTATTGGAAATAATTGCTTCTACATGTTTACATTCATATTTAAGAATCAGCAATGTTATCGACATGAGTTGGTCAATCTGTATGTACACAATTTTAGCCTGCAACTATAAAAGGAAAAGAAGAGAGAAAAGTGTAGAAGAGAAAGAAGAAAGTGGAAGCAGCTTCTTAGACCCCAGCCACATCAAACCCTTGCATGTTACACAAGAAAAAGAAAGACAGAAATTCCCCCATAAGTTGTCCCCACAAAAGAAAGATATAAATAACAACTTAAGCGCACAAACTCAGGCCCATATGGGATTAGAAGTAAGAGGAAATGGCCCACATTACAAACAGCCCATGGGAACATAAAGATGGCCCTACCATCCTTACAGCACTGTAAATGAATATGGGTGCCTTGATCACTTGGATCTGGCAAATCATGTTGGTCCACAAAATTGACAATACATTGGGCCCCATGTGTCATACCATATTCATGGCATTGAAGATGCTGAATTCAAATAAAGGATTGAGAGCCCGTATTGTTAGAATTCCTCCTAAAGAAAATTTTAGAATATGAATCTTGATCAAGTTGGTTATTGGCTCAATTGGAAATAAGGTTCACTTTGCACAGTTTTATTTAAATTCATAAACATTGTTTTAAGATAGTTTGTGATGCCTAGCAACAGTTTTGACTACTGGCACGTTAATTTGTTTACTTGTTTGTTCTGGAGCAGGAAAATTTAAATAGCAAATCTTATCTTGGCACAATCAAAATGCAAGTCTTTGAAAATCTTCGTTGCATCCAACATGCTCCAAGTGTACAAATGCAAGAGGTAGGTCACAATGTGAAGAATGGGAGTTTCAGGTTTTTCCAATTTTCCTCTCTGTCCTTGCTTATGCAATATACCCCTTTCCTATTTGTGTTTGATTGTGTTACTTTTGATACTGAGTTGTAATGCAGTTAGGTAAAAACCAGTATTTTAAAAGGCATGGGAGGCTTACACCTGGAGGCACGCCTCCAGGCGAAGGCACCCCCAAAATTCCCTGAGGTGTATGCCAGAGGCGTTGACACCTCTGAAGCATACGCCTCATGCTTTTTTCATGAGGCATGCTAGAGTCGAATGTGTCATGTGCCTCATGCACACCTCATATAAAAAGACGGAAAAAAGAAAAAGAAAGAAAAAAAAGGAAAGGGAAAGGGAAAGAAAGGGAAGGGAAAGAAAAAGAAGAAAGAGAAGGAAAAAGAGAAAAAGAAGGAAAAGAAAAGGGAAGGGAAGAGAAGGGAAGAAAAGATAAGGGGAAAGAAAGTGGGCTGGGAGCTCTGCCCCCCAGACCCCCTTTTCAACTAGTGATATGCATCTTCATTCTTCTTAATATAAAATATTTTATTAAAAATAAAGAAAAATGAGATCCTCCTTCCCTTCCTCTTCATCCCCTCCTCTTAATGTGGCTTACGGATCTTACATTCTCAAATCTGAACTACCCCTCACACCGAATACCTCATTTCACACCTCCGTGTTTTAAAACATTGATAAAAACAGGATTCCATGTGCAAAATTTATGGAGCTAAAAAATTGTTCCTGTCAGTAAATATCCTTAGTCACCGTCACAAACTATTTTTTATAATAAGGAAAGTTTCATTAAAAGAAAAAAGATTACATCCAGATTAAGAGTTTTTCACTGATCTGCAAGACATCAATCTTAGCCACATCAAGCAAAAATATTAGACTTTAAGCATGTTGTTTCTGGGTCTTAATCTTCTAACTCACACCCAGATCGGTTCATATCCAACCACTTACAATTACCAGCGGCCTACTACAAAATAGGAACATTTTTGAAAACAATTCATCCTCCTTGGAGTCACTAAGATCCTGCATCTTTACCTTGCTCAACTCTTGGATGGTAAACAACAGTCTTTTTGCTGAAGTATACCATGGTGACTTGCAGAGAAACTGGGTAGAGTTATAATACACTTCTAGCCACCAGCCTGGTATTCCTCTCTTGCTAAGGAAGAATAAAGACCATCCTAAACTTTGATGGAAGCTTCAGAAGGCCTCAGGGTGCCTCCCAAAAGCTGGAATTGATTGTCTCTTGCATAGATGTAATGGTGGCTTATTATGGGCTTTCAGTGGCCCCACCTCAGCCTTGGATGCAACAGGTGCTGAGATTTGTGCTCTACTGGAAGGTCTAAGAATTGCTAAAAATCAGGATGCCCCCCAAAAGCTGGAACTGATAGCCTCTTGCATAGATCTAATGGTGACTTGTTATGGGCTTTCAGTGGCCCCACCTCAGCCTTGGATGCCACAGGTGCTGAGATCTGTGCTCTACTGGAAGGTCTTATAATTGCTAGAAATCAGCAGATTACATCCTTAGTAGTGGAAGGGGACTTAAGAGATGTCATTAGTTGGGCCACTGCCTAAGTTTCTGGTCATTTGAATCTCTCCCCTTTTCTGCTGGAAATCCTTGAGTTAGTTTCTTCTCTCAACTTCAGCTTCAGATGGATCCCCAGAGAACTCAAATAGGTTGCCAGATAGTCTTGCTAAATCTGGGTTGGGAAGGGATTTTTTTGTACAGTGAAAATACTTTTCCAAATGCTTAATGTCAGCATTGCTCTTTTTATCTTTCAAGGCCTTTGATCTTGTACATCTTCTCCTGTACATCCCTCCCTTTTTTGCTTAATGAAAATTTTCTCTTTCTTCAAAAGAAAAAAAAAGGCATGTTGTCTCTTACAAATATCCAATAAATTCCATAAATCATCCCTCTTCATTTCTTTGGACTCTGAATGTGCTAGCACGCAGTCCATGGTCAGTGACACAATATCAGCAATTAATTTGTTTCTAGCTTAAACATTGCCTTCGAAGATGCACCTATTCTTTTTTCTCCAAATACCCCAGGCATACAAGATAAGGGATGATGTTCCAACCTAATACTTTTGCTTTTTTACTACCTTCTGTTCTAGACCACAAGGTGAATATTTCCTTTGGTTGGATGGAATTGATTTTGTGACCTAAAACAATGTAAAGAAGAAAAGCCAAATAAACTCTGCTGTACTGCCAATCAGTAAGTAGATGTATTGTATCTTCTTCATGATTGTTACATATTAGGAAAATGATGGTAGATGGAAACCTCTTGAGTTTAAATGATTCAAAGTTAGGTCGCTGCCATAGTTTTCAAGGCGCCAAGGCGAGGCTAGGCGACTAGGGGGCGCCTTGTCACCTAGTTGCCTAGGCGATGGATTTTTTATGTAGAAAACATAGATCCTAGGGTAGTTTCCTAGGTACCATAACCATATTTCCTTAATAATCATTCATAATTTTCATAAGAAAAGTATAGAGTTCATGTTAAAGTATAGAAAATCAACATATTCTTGAGAGAAAAAAAGAAGGAAAAGTAAATTTGAAAAATATAGGGGCTGAACCCTGTTATAGGAAAAGAAGAAAAGAAAAAAGTAGTAGTAGTAGTAGTAGTAGTAGTAGTAGAAGAAGAAGAAGAAGAAGAAGAAGAAGTGTTGATTAGACAAAATTTTAAGTTCTTCCTTATTGGTTCAGGTTTTGAAGTCTTTGAGGGTTCAATACAACATTTAGCAATGGTTGGATTGCTCCATTGCAACCTGCGTAACCAGGGTTCAAATCTTGGAAACAGCCTGTCTGTATATGCAGGGGTAAGGCTGCATACATCTACCCTCCCCAGGCCCTGCATTGGCGGGAGCCTCGTGCATTGGGCTACCTTTTAAACTTGTGTTGAGTGGTCACACTGGAAGGAAAAGACTCTTTTGATCTCAATCATAACAGATGTGAATCAGTCCTCTAAAACTGATGTAAAGTTGGAAAAAATAGTGAGAAAAAAAGGAAGAAAAGAAGAGAACAGCAGTACAAGAGAAAGAAGATGGAGAAAAGAGGAGGAAGAAGAAGAAGAGTTTGAATGTCTCTTCCCTCCCTTCTCTAATCCTTTTACTAAACCTCAATATTAACATAATTACAAGTATACCCTTGAATGGGTGGGCCAAGCGGCCAGCTAGGTAGTAACATAAGGAGAACTAGCAAAAAGAAATAACAGGCCCATTAGCTTACACTCCACCTCAAGCTGAGCATAGATGTCAATCATACCCAGCTTGCTTATATAGTGGGTCAGCTTCCCTCTCGGAACTCCCTTGGTCAAAATGTCAGTCAACTACTCTTCTGAGGTGACGAATGACAAACAAACTAATCCTGAGGAAACTCTTTCCCGTATAAAATGTCTGTCAACCTCAATGTGCATAGTCCTATCATGTTGAATAAGATTATGTGCAATATTGATAGTTGCTTGGTTGTCACAGTAGAGCATCATTGGCTTCTCATAGTCAACCCCCAATTCTTCTAAAAGGGATCGTAGCCACAGTAATTCTGACACACCATGTTCCATAGCCCTGTATTCTGCTTCAGTAGAGGATCTGACAACTACAAACTGTTTCTTACTCCTCCATGAAACATTGTTCCCTGCCACCAAAGCACAGTAACCCGACGTGGATCTCCTATCATCAATACATCCTACCCAATCAGGATTAGTGTATGCTTCCAGTTTCATGTGTCCATGTTTGGCAAATAGAATACCTTTCCCTAGAGTACCTTTCAAATAACACAGAACTCTTTCTACAACATCTAAATGAGTATCTCTAGGAGAATGCATAAATTGACTAATAACACTCACTGCATAGGAAATGTTCGGCCAAGTCATGCAATGATATAACAACTTCCCAAGCAATGTCTGAAACACTCCCCTATCAGATAAAAGTTCACCACCTGTAGCAGAAAGCTTATGATTGGGATCAATAGGAGTGGAGGCTGGTTTAGCACCAAGTTTACCAGTCTCAGCAAGGAGGTCAAGGACATATTTGCACTAAGAAACGAAGATACTGTCCTTAGATCTAACATCTTCAATGCCCAAAAATTATCAGAGATCTCCTAAATCCTTGATCTCAAATTCAGAGTTAAGAAATCTTTTAAGTTTACTGACCTCTTAGGTGCCATTACCCGTGACCACAATATCATCAACATAAACTATTAGAAAGGTCACCATAGTGCCACTTCTTTTCAAGAACAAGGCATGATTAGATTGAGTTTGTGTATAACCAAAGGAAACAAGAGCAGCCCTGAACCTCTCAAACCAAGCCCGAGGAAACTATTTGAGACCATAAATGGATTTCTACAGTTTACACACCTTCCCCTGCATTTCCTTTCCATATATCCCTGGAGGCAAAGACATATAGACCTCTTCATGTAGATCTTCATTCAAAAAGGCATTTTTAACATCAAACTGGTGGAGAGGCCAATCAAAAGTAGAAGGTAGAGATAACAAAAGCCGGACTGAGGTCATCTTAGCTACAGGAGCAAATGTCTCAAGATGGTCAATACCATACATCTGAGTGTAGCCTTTAGCAACCAGCATGGCCTTAAACCTCTTAATAGAACAATCAGAGTGATATTTAATGGCAAATATCCATTTACAACCCCCTGGTTCATTCCCTTCAGGCAAGTTAACAATATCTCAGGTATGGTTCTTATGCAAAGCATCCAATTCAGCCATCATAGCATCCCTCCATTCAGGTTTAGATAAGGCTTTTGGTACATACCTGGGTACCACATGGAAAGAAACATAAGCAAGAAAAGAGTAGTAGGTAGGAGATAGAAGGCTATAAGACAAGTGTTTGGAGATACAATGGGTTGTACACTTCCGCTTGCCCTTGCGGAGAGCAATAGGAAGATCAAGGACTTGGAAAGAAGTAGATGGGTCAGAGGAAGGCTGACCGTTTACCTCAGTAACGATTGGAGGATCAAGAGGCTCTTTTGTAGGAGAG